ACGATGAGGACTTGTGTGGACGACCTCTTTCACCTTATATCTGTAATAGTGGGGATTGATGAACTTTCTTCGTCCTGGAGCGGGTAGTTTCTGTTGTCATGGGCGTGTAAAATAACGACGGAAGTCTGAGTCCCAGCGAATTGGGTATTTCTGTCTATCTCCTAAACGACGATCACGAAAACAGGAGAGCCGTATGACAGCATAGCGCTTGCGGGAAATTTGGACGACTAACATTTAAAGATTTTATTCCTATTTTACTAAACAATTTAAGATTACAGAATCGATGTATACGTCAAATCTAATTTTATCGAGATTTAAGAACTAGTTAATATATAAATGAAAAAAAGTTACTGTATTTCCAGCATCTTTATTATTGTTTAACAAACAGAAGTTTGATGAAAACATCACCTATAAGTCAAAGATTGTAATAACAAATTCAACCCCGCACATTAGTTAGACTCGGCAAAGTTGCACTTCTAAAATTGTGTCTGAACGATTTGTTCATTTCCACGAACATTAAATAGTAAACACAATCTCAATGTTTCATTCGTAGGTAAAAGAACAACAAAATCCGTGGACGATTTATAATTCCATAATCAATTAAGTTTAAGAATTAAGCACATTTATTACATACATTTTGAAATCACTGGTGGTCCCTGTAATCTGATTGGCCCCTGTAATCTGATTGGCTCTAATTGGTGCGATTTATTCACGAATCGCACCATTTTTTGCTCTAAATCGCATAATTGTACGCTTGACTGAGTTTTTGACATATCACATCAAAGTCTTTCTGTTTTGCATACAAAATAAGATGTACAAGCCTTTCCGGTTCCTCTTTTTATTTAAAAACCGGCTCAGTACTGCACCAATAAAATATTTGAATTGACCAAGTCCTGTATCTGGGCGATTTCAAAATGGATATAGTAAAATGGTAATTGAACCTCGTGTCGTACAATTTTGGTCTGAAATCATACTTAATATTTCAAATCGAACTCGCGCTGCGCATTCGTTCGATTTTGAAATCACGCGTATGATTTCAGCCCAAATTATACTCCACTCAGTTCAATTACTATTATTTATTAACATTTATTACTAATACTACGATTTGTGATGGTCTCAAATAACTCCGCTCGCTCAGCGCATATTTCTCAAGTGAAAAGCCGCCACTTTTCTGCGCTAACTTAAAATTGACTTAATAATTCTAGTTATATTTGACAGCTCGCGGACGCAATTGTCTGGCAATTATGGTTCTTGTGGAGTCTTGCTCTGTTTTTGCTTCACGACATCCCTAAAGGTATCAAAAGATTAAATATAAAGTGAGCTACACCTAAAACTCTTTGTGGCAGAAAAAAAGGTCTGATTTCAAACTGGTTGGATTGTGCCTCACGGGGATCATTGTACCTGTTTTGCCGGAGACAAATATATTGGCACCGTAGGTTTCTTGAACAGCTTTTTTCCCTTTTTAGCGGAGGATTGAGTTAACGTTGGCGGAATATTTTCTATTTCTTCGTTCGGTTGCGATGTGCCCCTTTCAATTTCTTCACCTGAAAGAGATATACACTTCAAAGCTCGATAAGAGGCACGCCTGTACGAATTAGGAAATGTCCATGGTTCGAGATTGCGTCATAACTTCACAAAACTTTATACCTGCAACGTTTTCTTGCAAGTCTTGGAAGAGTTTTCTCTTTTTTGATTCTACTTTGAGTGACTCTGTCTCGTCTTGCGAGGAGATTTAAATTCAGCATTTAATGGGCACTCGAACAAAGCAACTTAGCCTGCGTAGCGGCCCTAGAGGGAGGAGGGAAGGGGGTGGGGAGCCAAGCGGAGAGAGGCTTGGGGAGAGGAAAGGAAGGGCTTGCTAGCGACCCCGTGGATTTTTCCAAACTCCCACCGATTAATTATGCATATCGTGTTTCGAATGTCAATCAACTACTGTCAAAACTATTCAATCACCAAGCGCGAATTTATAATAATAATTATAATAATAGTTATTAAACTCTCTTGCAGTAACTTACTGAATTAACGAGTTATGATACAATGAAAACTTAATAAGAACGACTATGTACATTTCTGTATACATTAAGTACAAGTTATATACACCACACGGAACATACATCACATTTGTTAAAAATACTTNTCTTACTGTTCTTGTCTTTGCTTTTATTTAGAAAGAATACATACGTTTCAATATATTGGTCGTAAGTGTTATTTAGTAAACAGAGCACAAAAGTTGCTTCGCGAGCGACTCGAGATTCCGCTCGTATTGATCATATCATGCACATCAAGTATTCGAATTTTACTTTTTCTTACCTCAGGCCAGTCCAAGTTTGAATCGTGTTTGATTCATCAACTATCAGAGCAACTGTTCTGGACACAAATCCCTTATCTTTATCTTTAAGGAAGTTTGTGAAACGTTCATCGATTGCACTCTCGGCCGAAGCGTATACCAGATCAACTTGCGATAATGAATCCAAATTATCGAGAGCTTAGGTTAGATTACAACCAGTTAAACCAAGAGATTCAAGTTCGAGTATTTGATCCTGTATGATGCATGTAAGTGGAGTTATAACCAACACAACGGGCCGTTTATCGTCGTTGGCCTCGAAGCGTGCAAGCAACACTAGAGCTTGGAAAATTAAACTTTTTCCAAACCCAGTCGGCAAAATAGCTACAAGATCACTTTGCAGTGATATTGTAATTATTGTGCAAAGTTTGATGGTGAATAGACTTTCTTAGCGCTGCCAACATCTTCCTAAAGTTGCGTGACCATTTGACCGTTTAGGCAAGGCGAAAACGGCTTTCTTAACGAATTTTCAAACTTTTTAAATTTTTAGCCGGAAAAAAAACCGCTGGAACTTTAATATATTTTTTTCGAAACTAGTTCACGGAAAGGGATGTTTTGGCAAAATAAAAGAAATTAGAGTTTTTGTCACTGATTTTCGTTTCTCGAAATATTCTGGCGGCTTCTCTTAAATACCATTCCAAGGTATGAAGAATACTTTTTACCTCTTTTGAATTTTTACCTCTTTTGAAACTGGTGCCTGTTCAAAGGCACCAGTTGATCGGAGATGTCTCCTATCCGTAAATTGCGTGACAACTATGATTAGCTTTGTATTACGTCAAAGGAAACTTCTCGGTTTAGTACTCACCCCTTACTCACTCCTACCAGTACTATTTTTAATGGTATTTAAAAACGCTCGGAGTCCTACAAAATATTCTCGATTACCTCTAGACAGTACATATAAGGAAACTGCATGGAATAGAGAGGTTTTATTCCGTGGACCAAGACATTCTACATCGACTGCTTCCGCTCCTGTGGGCAGTTATCAAATGAGGCAAATGTTGCGGTCACTTACTCATGTCAGCTATTCTTCCTGTCCTAAGCCTGATTGACAGGCCTTTCAATTTTATTCTGTCTATGCCGCAGAGGCTTGAGCAGACTAGGAGACGCACACGGTCATAGGGTGTGAGCAAGTTATAAATTAAGGGGAAAAGAGGACAGCGAGGAGGCTCGTCGCTATTTTTTTCGTTCAGTGATTTCTTTCACAAGCGTAACCTCCATGACATGCAGTCTAGAAGCCAAGAGCGGAGAGACCATCACTTAACACATAGACCACGTAGAACAAGACCTTCTATCAATCGCTTCATAGTGTGAGTCCCATCGAACCTATATTATTCCTACGTGTTTAAGTTTTCAAGGTACTTATGTCAGTTGAAATATCCACTCTTGCTCTTTCGCTGCTTACCTATTTGTCCATCAACTTGGTCATGCTAAGTGGTGGGAAGAAAAGATCTGCTGTGTGGCAACTGCGGGCATGATTTACGCTTTTAATCGACTGAACAAGTAAGCAAACGGCCGGCAGTTTTGAAAAGCTGAACAAACCTTTCAGATATGTGGGTGGCCTCGGCTGATCAAAAGTGCACCTTGATGGATGAGGGTAGTTTGGAAAATATGGAATGCCGGAATTTGGAACCGGAACCGGAACCAGAACCGGAATACTCGGAATACCCAGAATGACCGAAAAATAATAAATTTTTAAAAAATAGAAGTAAATTAATAAGTAAATAATAATAATAATAATAATAATAATAATAATCTTTTATTAGGAAGCTCCATCACAATAGTGGTTTACATAGAGGTCCTAAATACTAGACGTGTATTATATAAAAATACAATTAAAATATAGAAATTTGAGCTAAAATCGAAATATAAAAATGATTACAACATATACACTGCAAAAATTAATTTAAAAAATACTTAATTATAAAAAGCAGAAAAAAGACACTTCTTAAAAATTGGCAAACTTACTGAGTTTCTTACAGTTATCTCTAACTCATTAAAGTCTTTGAAACAGTGAAACCGCAAACAATGTTTTCCCCAATTGTATTTGATTTTGGGGAGCTTACAATTGAACTGTTAAACTAATTGGAAATATCGCATTTGTTTAATCTTCTGCAATCGTTCCGGTTGGAAAAGCGTGGCGGCCCAACGGTCATGGCGTCCTAAACATCCCACAGGTGTGAAAATGGGTGGAGGCGAATTTAAAACGGGGAGTAACCATGTGATGGACTAGCATCCCATCCAGGGGGAAGGGAGAGTAGAAATATTTCGTCGCTTAGGCTGTATGGGCTACTGGCCTGAGTTTTTAAATTCTAATACGTGCATCTCCATGAACTGTGCCGGTAAGTGTTTTTTTTCTAAGGACCCTCAGAGGAAAAATTTGTATTAAATTGTTTCAAGTTAAGTTGTGAACTTACCATTAATTTTTAATCATCAATATTCCTATTTATTTATTAATTTACTTTTATACTTTTATTTTTTTTTAATTAATTCTTTTTCGGTCATTCCGAGAATTCCGGGTATTCCGGGTATTCCCAGTATTCCGGTTCCGGTTCCGAATTCTGGCATTCCATATTTTCTAAACTACCGATGGTTGAGTGGTTTCACTTTGCCGCCCCCACCAAAATTAAAATAGATGGCAAATGATCAAGTCTTGACTTTTTTTAGATCGCAGGGAAGTGAAAGTTCTTTTTCATTGACGGCATTAGACTAATGACGAGAATATTTTTGGAAGTTTCTGGTCTTAATTGTACAATGGTTAACCATTTTGCAGTGTGCATGACTGAACTTCATGCTTATAATCAACTCAGACGTGTGAATGGTGATTGAAAAAAGTCTTGGGACACCAGTTTCATTGGTTTCAATAATTTCATCGTTTCACGCCTTCCCCTAACATGTGGTGGAGACTGAACATTGACAATTCGTTTACAAAACAACACAAAACCAACAAGCTATAATTACTTCCTTTCGACGTTTACACTGGTTTAATACACGTGGCAATCTCTAAACTGCCCATTTTTATGAGAAGAATCTTTTGAATATCGTCACGTCAGCAACTTGATTAAAGGTAAAAATGAAATATGGTTGTGAAGGAAATAGGCCAAAATCAATAGCAAAGAAAACAAAAACAACCCCGACTCAATAGTTTTCTAACCCTTCTTTTCGACTCAGCTGGGGTTTATATTTAATTAGATATTGACTAACTTTTGTATCGGTGGAAAAATCTCTTACGTTTCCTAAGTTATAATTGCGCACAAAGTTGTCTGTTGTAGATCACATTAATCTCACGATGTCTAACTTTTTGAACTGATCATCCAAGGTTGAGTCATAAGCTAAAATAAGAAATTTGCCACTTGATGAAACTAAGTTGTAATGCTGTTTAGAACTTTTATAAAAAGATTTACCACTCAACCGTCAAACATTATTTAGTCAACCGAAATATCGGCTCTAAGCTAGAGTATGCGATTCGTTTCCGCCGCAAAAGCTGAATATTTCAGAGCATTTTCATCTGCAAGGTACACCGAGAAAAGTCTATCTCACGATTTTACCTCCCTAAGTTTTTTAACTACTTACGAATCATATCATAGCCATACTACCATAAATTTTGTTTGATGCCCGTGTTAGTCAAATATTTCTTCTTCAAGGGAATGCAAGGCATAAAAGCTCTGTCTCAGCTGGTGAAGTTGACTCATCAAGTCATCTTCTCGGCTTAGTTTCTTTTCCTGTGAAAGAAAACAATGAGAATCAGCGAAAGGTACAATTTTAACACGCCCTAAATTTGTGTGAAGTTATGTGAATGAAAGCAATTTTGATCACAGCGTACACATTTGTCGTTATCATATAGGATGGCGGGCTCTTTCGACTGTTACGAAGAGTGTCTGCAGCTGAGTGAATGAATGTTACATTTGCATATCGAAGAACTCACAAAAACTTGCCCCTGCGCTTCGCTTTGTGTATCAACAATTTAAACACCGCGATTGAATTTTTTACCTGATTTTCATCCAATTTCCCTTTTCGTTTCTTCGTCTCTTTTAAGCTATTAATCTCACTAAGTTTTTTCATTAACTTTCCCATCTTGACAGTGTATTCGTCATATGTGACAAAATTCTTGGGTACACTGAACTGAGTTTGATCATCCCAGACTGGATCATAGGATTCCTCAGATGTCTTCAAATGACTTCTATTAATATATTGAACGTTCAGTGCAATGGGCTGGGGCCAACTGAAGCCTAGATAGAACGAAACTTCTTCCTTTGAAAATCCTCCTTGGCGAAAGGAAGAATAGTAAACATCGATGCCTCGACGTTGGTCCCAAGGGTTCTTAACTTTGATGACATTTTTACTTTCAACCACTCCCTTAAGAAGTTGGAGTCTTCCTGTAGCTGAAGGATTCTTAAAGTCCACAGATCCTCGAGACTGAGGCAGTTCATTTATATGCACAAAGACGTCTAACCCATCACCTTGGCCCAAGTAGAAGAGTGTGGTGTATTGCTTCTGCTCTTTCTTGAAAACCATATGTTTGTAAACGTTTTGCTTACGCATTTTATCAACGTCTATTTCGACCTTTCCTTTGTTAGACCATCGCTTCTTGAGTTTAAGCAACGAATCGTAAAAATCTTGAACTCGATAATTATTCAACTCTATATTTTTTCGAGGCCAAAGAAACATCACCTTAAGCAAATGTGTATACATTCTCTTGTACCTTTCATCTGACGCTTCCAATGCGTACAATCTATCCACATATTTGTAGATTTCTCTATACTCCTCGCCTCGCAGCTCCACTTGCTTGGCTGATTGTTTTTTCGAATCCTTGCCGTATGGAGAGTGAAGAGCCATGCTGGTTGTTATGTAGAGCAAAAGGTCTTTATACCGGTCTTTGTCTGTGTTTTCACAACAATTCTCATAAGCTAGTTGCTTGAGTAACTGAAGTGTTTTGTTCGGAGTATCAGTATCAAACTGAGTAATTTTGAATACACTTGAAAAAATATCTCCAGCAAGATGTCGATTGATTTTTTGCCATCGGTACTCCCACCGCTCCTCGCTTGTCTCCATCTTCAAAGCCTCGGCTTCGCCTTCACCGAAGTAACTTAGATACTGTGCTTTAAATACAGCGATCTGTTTAGGTAGCATTTTTGACGCTGGAGTATTTCCCTTAAAGATAGTGAAGTCCTCTGAAAGTCCTTCCATGCAATGACTGAATCGGTTTCTCAGATCTTTAATTAACTCGTGATAGTCACTCCAGGGTGATTGAACCTCTGGTGGTATAGTTTGCCAATAAGATAGATAACCTTGTAACCTTTGTAATCCACTTAGGCCCCTGAATAATTTTGTACAGCGAAGAACGTCTAACAGGTAGAACATCACAGAAAGTTGACCATGAAAACCATATTTATTTTCAAAATCCACTGATGCTTCAAGCGACTCTTGAAACCACTTCATGGCCTCAAAAGCAATAGGTAAAACTGGGGTAACCTCTTCTATGTTTGTCACGATGTTCTGCTCGCGGATATGGCCATAAAAAGCTTTCATTTTATTCTCATAAATGCGGCCCTTGGTATCCAAAAGAAAAGAATTCTTCGGATTCATCGCGATGGCCTTCTCGCAAAACTCTAATGCATTGTCAAAGCACTGGCTTGTTTTAGATTTTCCTGATAGGGCTTTAGCATTCACGTAAAAAACTCTAGCCATTTGTTGAGCGAGCATAGGATCCTTGAATTTCTCTAACCCTTTCTCAAGGACGATGGCTGCATCCTTTATGCTCTCTTCCGTAGGCTGCTTCCTATCATCTATGTCTAGTACGTATAAAATCTTCTCAATTAACGGTGTAAACTTAGTTTGCTCGTCATCGCCATACTCATACTTCCTTCGGTGCTTTAGCATTCTGTTTGCTCCTTCACGTAGAATGACTGACGTGAACGACTTCGCATCACTTTGTAGCAAAGGAGACTCTAAGAACTCCACTGCAACTTCACTCACAGTTTTTTTTTCTCTTGCTGTGATCTTGTCAAGCAACTCATTCGCAATGACTGGATGAACTATGGCGATGGCCTTCCCTGTGCCGTAGTGCGTACTACAGTCCACCTCTCGCAAAAAAATTCGGGCTGAGTGGCTGAGGTATTCAACCCAGTCCATAAAGATTTTCTTGCGAAGGACACTTGGAGAAAGCATCATTGTATCAAAACACGACGCAAACACTGGGTAGGGGTTATAGATATTGAGAAGGGAACAAAACTTCAACAACGTCAATTCGTCATTGCTAGTAATATGCTCCAAATTTCTGTCCACAATACTGGAAGCGTATTCTGGATTGTAGTTCTCCTTCATTATCATAAAAGAAATCAAGTTCTCGTTTGCATACTTCTCAAAGTCATGTTCTGGGTCTTTGTCCTCCAGTTGTTGCTTCATTGCTGTGTACTTTTCTTTAAACCACACCACCTCTCTTTGGCTAAGCTGCTGCTCAAGGTAAACACTTGATTTTTTTTCTTTTTCATAGCACTGTTTAGGATTTTGCGTATGTTTGCAGTACAGAAATATACAAGCAGGAGAAATTGTTTTGGTAAATTTGAGAGCCTGATCGACAACTTGTGACCGCAGCTCTCTAAACATGAAATCGTCTGGAACCTCAACAAGTGCTAAAACTGGTGGAATCTCTGCTTTAGTGTCTTCACCATAGCCAATCTTTCTCAACTGGAAAATTTCTGTGGGAGTATTGTGATCAATGTTTGTTATTACAGCACAACGGTAAGGAAACTGTGGGTTGTTACGAAAATCCCACAAGGCTTGCCTCGCCATGGTACTGGCTCCAGCACCTATATGGTGATATATGGTGATTGTTTGTACCCTTCCCTCTGATCCACGAGAATGCACATTTTCTATCAACTTCTTCAAACTCGGGTAACTATCACGTTGGAGAACATGATCCTTATGAAAATCAGTGAACCAGAAATTCTTCCACATCACAGGATATCCTCGATAAAAGTTTTCCTCTACCTCGGACGACATCTTTGAACTATCTGCAGAGCTTAAACCTTTTAATTCACTCTCGCATTCTTTAGCACTAACAATCTCAATGCCAAATGAAACATTTCCCATGGGATAAGGAGTTCCCGTCGCCATGATGACATAGCGTTGGTCCCGGCTTAGTCCATAAGTCATATGCTCCACACACTCTTGAAATTCACTCCACGACATTCCAACAATTCCCCTCTCTCGCAGTTCATGTTCCTCTAGGCAGGTTTTTGAAAGATTTACCTCCCAATCTGTAACAATGTCAGAATCCTCAGCCACGTAAATTAACTGGTTAGGACCATCAAAGTATGTGCAGAATTCTTCAAAAATGTCCGCTACAGCTTGATAGTCTTTAGACAGCAACAGAAACAACACTACTGCCCTCACTCCAGGAATTGTCTTTGCAAAAGATTGTATAACTTTGCTCAGACCCCTTTTCCGCTCTGAGTTGTGCCACTGCCTAAACCCTGCTGCCTCTTTGTTTAGTTTCGCGAAACCATTTCCAAATATCCAGGCAGGTTTGTAATAGATGTTTTCAACAGCCTCATTATCTTTGTCATAATCCTCTGCTTCGTGTATGTCTACCTGAGGCGAATGAAAGCCAGACTTGAATACCTTACAAAGGCCACCGATATCTGAACCTTGATCGTCAAAATCAAAGACTGTGAGCCAATTGATTTTTTGAATAAAACGAAACGTTTCGTCTAAAACGGATTGTATCATACTGGCATCTGGCTTGGTCACAACTAAAATCGGGTAAACCGAATAGTCTAAGACCTTTTTGTTTCCACAGAGAAGTCTCCTGAGTTTATTAAAAAGGTCTTGAGTAGACTCTTGATTTACCACTGGCTGCTTCAGTAATGCTTGCTCACGATCCTTCCTTGCCTCGTCTAACTTGGGCTGGTTTTTCATATACTCCCTCTGTTCCGGAAGGTCAACAATTGCCTTCGTACTCGATCCATGTCTAACATAGATTGAAGCTCCACGATCCTTTTTCTCCCGCTTCAGATCCTTAAAACAAACTTCGAAAGTCTCCCCTTTACAAAATGAATAGGCCGGTTCAATGTCAACCTCTATAACCACCCTATAGTTAGACCCTTCTTCGGTGAGTGAACCTCTTACGGGTATAAAAACAGGTGGTCGAATACATCTGTGAACAATACTTTTACTTGAGCCAACAAAGCATTTGCTGATGAACTCTGTTAGTTTTTCGCCGTACGAGGGCTCGTCTCTGACCTCGGTGCCTACAATTTCCCTTGGGCTGTACCCACAGGCTTGGGTTTCCTTTTCGTCTGCCACTCCAAAGTGTATCGTTCCATTCGTTCTTTCATTAAGACAGCCACATGCAAACCTCAAAGTCTCGAAGACAAACTTTTCCAAAATATCGTCATCGCTAGAGTTGAGACCTGTTCGGAGTATTTTGTACTCGTGTATGGGTTCGATCATATCTTTTGGGCCAGTCTCCCAACAATCGAAGATAAAACCTTGAGTGTAACTAGTTTTTCCACAGTCCCTATTGAAATGTCTCGGTGTTTGATAACTTAGTTTATCACGATTTGGCCCTTGACCTTTACTTTGAGGTAAAGATGGCTCATCCTCAAACAAGCCACACGATGCGTTCTTTAATGATTTAAAATGCTTGCTCCACTTTAGGTCTATTTGGTTTACATCAAATGTCGCATGATAACGACTTTCTAGTTTTAGTTTTATGTCATATAGTCTTGTGTGTTTTCTGTGGGAAGAAAATCTGCAAACGCACGTCTTCTTTGAACTGGGCACCAGCTGTTTATCTATCAATATAACGAAGTACTTCTTTTCGAATTCACGGTCTTTGAGATTGTCGAGTGGAATCTGACATACATTCCCATCATCTCGCAGAGACAACCTCTCCCCGCTGCTCTCGCTACCGGGCTCGTAGTATACAATTTCTTTGGATATCTTGTTCCACCGAAATACCTTCAACTGCTCTTCAGATAATAAATTCATCCAATCCTCTGTTTTCTCCACAATTTTTGTCCATAACTTTCTAGGTTTGTCATCTGTTAGCTCCTCTTTTGCGATTACAATAAAGCAAAATAAATCTTCTAGAGGATTTGCACTCTTGCCACGTTTAACAAAAATTGATCTCACTTCACATCTACCTATACTTGCAGCGGCAGGATCTTCTGCAGATTTCACATCTATTTTAAGGGCGTTGTTTAGCAGTAAAAGCTTTTTTTCTTCCATTGATAGAAGCGGCTTTGGTGTTGCATCTGAATATTTTTTTGTTGTGGTGGGATCCTCTGGGATTAGTGGGTTTTTAGGCTCATCCAAATCTTTTGTCGCTAATGACTGGAGGAGTTTATCTCCGGAATCTCTTTCACTGTTTCCTTCATATAGCAGTGATACCTCATGCTGAAGAACAATCCACGGGCCAACTTTCAAATCCAAGCAATCCTTCAGTTCACTAGATGTCCTCATTAACACAAAGGCGTGGCCATTAATTTCCTCTTCTTCTGCTTTTTTTAAACATTCTTCTGATATTCCAAGTTCCCTTAGCCAACGACAAAGCTTTGCACAAGTCCATCCCTTCATCTCCTCTGTAGATGCGCAGGCTTTCTGTGCTTTTTCCCGATCAAATGTCTCTAAGTGCGGTTTCAGACGTTCCATCAAGACGGCTTCGGGTCCTTTTTTCAAGTTAAGAGCCGAACATAGTTGCTTATGGTCTTTTGATGCTAACAATAATAAAGCGCGTCCGCTGATGCCTTCATTTTGACAGTTGTCAGCATACTTCTCAGGTAGACCAATTTCACAGAGCCACGCGGCTGTTTTCTGTGGGTTCCAAGTTTCCATAGATTGTGCCGCTACAGAATAGAACGAGAATAAAAGATGAGAGCTTAGAATGGAAATAAAACTCTAGTTTTTTCGAGGTAAGTGTTAAAATGCACATATATTTAGGCTCATCCAAATCTATCTAATATATCAACAAAGTTGAAATGGTAAATTGGCCACCGTTACGATTATAAAAGCTGACGTTTCGAGCGTTAGCCCTTCGTCGCTAACGCTCGAAACGTCAGCTTTTATAATCGTAACGGTGGCCAATCTACCATTTCAACTTTCTTGATATATTCAAATTATTTCGTTACCCCCACCGACGCAGCCCCAAACAATTTCCTTAGAAACTATCAGCCTTAGTTTAGTTTAGCTTTCCTTCTTGAATCCCAGTACCAGTGGTTTAGCGACCGATCACTGAAGCTTACCAAGCCCTCGGGGGGAGGGGGGGGGAGGACTTCTTTAAAATTCATCAAGGGCACAAATGTGAGACCTGTCACCTATCTCTATGAATACTGCGTACAGGACTTTCTGTAGGTGAAAAAACGTCGATAATGGAGACAGGGGCTTCTTAGAAACTTGTGTTAGATGGGGGCTTACTAATGCATTTACCATAAATTTGTAGAATTGAAATTTAACAACGGTCAAAGAATCCTGTAACCTTGAATTGCTTTTAGGGAGATAATGATTATAAAAGGTTTGGTGCTCTGACATTGTTACTGAATAATACTCACCTTCTGTTTGCAAGACTGACTGATCTCTTTCTCCTCCAACAGCACCCTCGGCTTGTTCTTGTTTCTCCATTGGGAGTACTGCGATTCAAAGGTTTGATAAGCTCAATCTTGGTAACGAGCTTTATTTCAAGGTAAGTTAGTGCAAAAATTTGACGATTATGATCTTTTTTTGTATAATACAGTTTATTTCGATTCGTTATAGTAGAGTAGATATCAACCACATTACGGTCATATTAGACAGTGCATCACTCACAGGGAATTAAGATGCACAGAGGGTAAAAAAAAGGAATTTTTATCGCAGAGCACCTCTTTGGTCTTTGAAGAGCCATTCCATAAACGATTCAGTTAATGTCTCGAGCTTCTGTATTCCTATTTTATAAACCAAAATTTTGCCAGTCTACAATATCGTCATCATTCTTGCCTGACGATGCCGTAGATTAGGCGAAAGCTTCGTTTATAAAATAGAGACAATATCTTGAATCGTCCATTTAGTCATCTAATTAAAATGCATTTTAGCCAGAGAACGTTTATTAACCAGGATGAGAATTTGAATCCTGATAACTCTTTCGGGAGCTCCTGCTGGCACTGGTGTTTACGCTCCAGGCACAAGCTAAAGTAACCGACTCTCTTTAGCTGATTTAATTTCTGATTATGCTTATAATTTTGAAAAGCATTCTCTCAGTTAATTCGTAGTCCATTGTTTCTAAAACCCACAAACAGTTCACCCCTTTTTTTAAATACCAAAATAGATGTAAGATCACTTTCTTACCTCCACCTTTAAGAGAGCCCACAATGAGTGTTAGCGTGAGACTGTCAAGACTGTCATCAAATAAGGACTCCAGACTCAGATCGTCATAAAGCTTTGAAAGACAAGCGAAAAAAGATGTCATGGAAAGTTAAGGCTATTTCCAACGTCTTTCGTCAAAAATCCTGTTTAACCATCTTGACAATTTTTGATTGAAACACTCTTTCTTAAAGGTTTACTACTGAGGTTTACCATGTCGGTACGCTTTTAAGAACGAAGACAACGCAATAGATTCCATTGTAATTCTAATAGATTTAAAAACGTGGCCTGTGTCCTTAAGTGTTACTTCGGTTGTAGTTGAAGATAAACTAAGATAAAAACAGTTCCGTGACTTAAGTGCAAGTCACATTTGAGGTAATTCAGAGACTCTTCTTTCAGTGTACTAGCATTCAACCAAAACGGATTAAGAATATCTCAACTCTCTAGAGCTCAAAAACTTATGCTGATATAGGGGTCTCAGTAAATGGCTTGAACCCGGGGGTAACATGTGAAGGTGTAGTCTGATCGTCCGGGTGAGTGTAGTCCTGAGAAGGACTGTTGTCGGTGGTAGTGACTGACGTTTCGACAACCTGTGCGGAAGTCATCATCAGAGTCAAGTGAATGATTGTTGTCAGTAGAATGTTCTTATTCCAGTTCGTGTGAAATGATCGGTTGGTTTTGCCGTGATGTTATTGGCTGTAAGACTCAAGTGACGTAAGTCGGTCGTGATTGGTCTGTTTCGATCTGTCGGTAAAGTTAGGTCGTTCTTTTTCGGTCGTTTGTGATGTTTATGTCGTGAATGAGTCGTTTGTATGGAGCGGGTAGTTGTTGACATCTGTTTAGGGGAGTCTGTTCTAAGTTAGTAAACCAGCTTTCCAGAGTCAGTCGTTGAAAATAGTCAGTGCTGTAGGTTAGGCATTGCGCAGAGTCCCAGTCAATGTTGTGGTTGGTAAGTCGATGGTGTTCAGCAATGTGATTGCTGACATCACCTTTCCTCGTCGCCCGTCTGTGTTCAGTCAGTCTTGTTGTGAGGTTTCTGCCAGTCTCACCGATGTAGGAGGCTTGGCAGTCGGAACAATTGATCTTATAAATCGTTCCCTGTCTGTTCCTCGGTTCGTCTTTGTCTTTAACGTTGGTTAGTAACTGACGTAGTGTGGTGATGGGTTTGTGGGCGACGCGGATATTGAAGGGTAGTAAGATGCGCGAGATGTTTTCAGACATGCCTTTTATGTACGGTATGGTTGCTGTAGTCGTAGGGGTTGCGGTGTCGTTTGTTTCGGTAGTGGTAGTGGGTCGGTGAGTGTTTCGTCGGATGAAGTCGTTGTTGTAGTTGTTCTTCGTAAAAACACGGTGAAGGTATTTGTTCTCGTCGGATAAGCTGTCTGTCGAGTCACATACTAGTTGTGCGCGTCGTGTTAGAGTTCTGATAGTTGTGGCTTTGTGTGATGTAGGGTTGTAGGATGACTCGTCTAGTAATCTGTCGGTGTGTGTCGGTTTCCTGTAAACTGTCGTTCGTAATGAGTTGTCGTTGTGGCTTACCAGGCAGTCTAGAAAAGGAAGTTTGCCATTTTCTTCGACTTCTCTGGTAAACTGTATGTCAGTGTTTTGTTCGTTAAGGTGGTTGTGGAATGCGTCAATTTCGTCGTGTCGAACGGCGGTGAATGTGTCGTCAACGTAACGTAACCAAAGCGGTATCGTTTGTCGGCAAGTCGAAAGGGCGCGTTCCTCGATGTTCTGCATCACAATTTCTGCTATAACAACAGAAACTGGAGACCCCATGGCAGTGCCGTGTAACNGACCTCCCCTTGGGATATGATAACATTAATCAATGAAAACCACGACTGACACACACATCACAAACTGAACAATCCCGTGTTTACACGTACTGACTATTATAGACCTGTTTAATTGGTATTTCCTCCTATACCGTATATTGTATAATATACATGAAAAAATTTCTCAGTTCTGATTGGTTAAGATGAACGCAGTTTTCAGTTAATTCAGTGCAGAAGAGAGTTAATTCAGTACAGAAGAGGGTTAATTCAGTGCAAAGAAAGAAACAAACCAGACATTCTGATTGGTCAGAATAATTGGTCAATGTCAATGTCAAGGTCAATGTCACTTGCAGGATTTCAATAAATTATTTTTGCATGTGATGCATGCGCTTTTCTTCCGCGTAGTTATGAGAAGCTACCTCGTATTTTTTCATGTATATTATTAATACATAATCACATTATTTTCTCGTGCAATTTGGAATAAATAATCACTTGTAAATTTTTTCAAAGATCACAAATTGCACTCGCCCTACGGGCTCATGCAATTTTGTTAGTCTTTGAAAAAATTTACTCGTCCTTATTTATTCCAAATTGCCCTCGAATTCATGTGATTACCTATACAAATATAATTTGAAGGGCAGTCTGAAGCGAAATATATTACACATTTGACACATAAGATGAAGTAGGCCTCTTTGGGTTCTTAAAAGAGGTTTCCGCTTTTCCAGCGGTTTTACAACTCATGCAGTTTTAACATGAATATGTAGCATAAAGCGTGATTCAAGAGTTGATAAATTTGAGGAAAAGTGTCCATGAAATACTTCTAAAGCATTGAATTCTAATGTAAAAACAGTGTATTTATACAATTTAAAACTGAATGTTAAAGTAAGAAAAAAGAATGTATTTTCAGTCAAAGGAATTATGGTCCTAAAATACATTTTGCATAAGACTGTATCACTGCTAATCATTCAATCTTTTTTCTATGACTACCTCGTGAAAACCTGTTTCAAATTTCAGCTTCACTTGCTCTGACAAACTGGATTTCTGGATAACAATTTTAAGTTTAAAGGTTCTTAATCTACAAAGATTAAGGATTCTATTTCATGGAAAGTTAGCAACTCAAGCGTTGGATGTTGTCCTTGAGTAGCATAGTGTTATAAAGTCAGACGTGTAAATCAAGTGAGGCCAGGTATGCTACGATGATTTAGTTTTCCGAGCTTTCGCCGATCTACGATCATCCCTTAGGTCATGTCCGACAAAAGAAGATTTGGAGGGAACCCAAGAGTCAAGTCAATGAAGGAATATTTAAGTACACGTACATTTACAAAACCATCAAAGTTCCAGGGTATGCTTAAGCTGACTTAGTTTTGCAGATTCTTCTAAGTCCATTTGAAATCAAGGCATTCTTAGTGATAAACAAAAGAGACAAGTTAGACTTGAGTCTAATTGTAAATTCTCATAAGTTCTTTTAGTTATATAATTGTTGGAATAATTACTTTGTGAACAATTTCAAGAAGATCCTACCTCTTAGTAACCGAACATTTCCCGGGATTCAGAACCATTGCAGGTACAGATTCATGTTGGTTTAGTGACTCCTGATCGGCAGCCTGTGCATCACTGTTTGATTCCATGTCGTTATTGGTACTCTTGCTATCTGGATAAGGGCTGCTAAACTGAAATGACTCACTTTTAAGAAGCTCCAGTTTTGATGACTATAAAGAAAAGAAAATGAAAAGTGAATGATTGAATGAAGTTGAAATTTGGGCCTGAAACTTGTTACACAAATCTTTCCAAAACATTGCTATCACAAAATTACTTTTAGCTGATCTTCTCATAGTTTTCAAGAAATAAAATTGCAAAGAAGAGGTAAGCAATCCAAGCAGTCATAAACAGTGTTTTTGTGAAAGTATAAAGAAGAGAGAGCCTTCTGTTTCCCAAAATGAGCAAACAGGAATTGTTAGGAAACTTTGGTCTGTTCAAACATGTCTACTGAATCAATTCTTGACAATGACAAAAACCTCAGCAATGAAATGTACCTCTAAATTTGACATAAAGCAATTATTCCCAGTTAACATTATTGGCAGATTAATGGCTGGCACAACATATAAAATAAATTCATATGGACCATTATTTTAAAAGTTAACATGATGGATCCTTTGAACCTTAAGTAATGACAAGAATATTCCAACCTGAATATAAAATGCCATCCAATGCAGGCTTTTACCAGGAAAAGCTAATAATCAAACGCCTACTGAGTAACCAGATCGACCGTTGCCAGTTTCTATTAAACACATTATTTCAAAGTATTATTATTATTTCAACCTTTTTCTTCTTCTTTTTTCCTTTACATTTCCTCTTTGATGCTGTAGAGCCAATACAACCAAACCAGACCACTGAGTCATCTTGCTTCTTCTTTTTTCTCTTTGGTTTTGTAATTGATAACATGCTGTAGTCTGGAGTCAGTTGATGAACATGTTGTGGCGGTGTATACTTAGCGGGTTGAGAATTAGCTCCACCTGTTAAAGGTCCTTGATATTTGTCTGGTAACCTATCCCTTTGATGCTTTGGTTTGTTTTGCGGTTTTCTGTAATGGCAAGCTTTAATTTGATAGAGCTGTCCATTACCATCACAGTACAAGAGAGTCTGCAACAAATAAGTTAAAGTAAATAATCCTTATTATTATATGACTCGTCTGGCCCCGCTCGCACAATCCTATAGAAAACCATAGTAAAAGCTGACGCGTGCAGGGCCGGACTGGTTGACGTGAACCGGTCTGGAAAAAGCCGTCCACATCTAGCATATGAAGTTCATATCTTAGTTTTTGGGTCTTCGTTTTCGTTTCCTCGTTTTCAGGTCTCAATTTTCGGGTCTTCATTTTCGGGTCTTCATTTTCGGGTCTTCGGTTTAGGGTCCCACGTCTAAGTTTTCGGGGGACTTCGTTTTCGCTACCGCCCAATCTTTGTCATACAAACGGTATGTAATATTTCATTACGGCATGGACTCCATCATAATGAGAAAAACACATCTCTTCCAACAAGGTGAAGAATAAATGCTTATTTAATCTTTGAAAGTACTCATCTATTGAAGTTTGGTTAATTATTATAGCATCCTTGCAACATTTAGTTAGATGTGAAGGGAAATCAGTCGTACAAGCTGAGAACTTTTTCTGATCAAATTGTTAGCGTGAAGTGATAAGAATTAAAAGGGCATTCAATTGTTAGTTCTCCCGGAATGGATGCCGCTCTGTCAGTGGTTATCTCTGAGAAGTGTGTCATTTAGAAACTTCTGGTTATGGAGAGGCAAAGAGTAAAGAGTAAGCTGACTTTTCGCCAGGAGCTCAACTCAATGACCTGACTAGTTTCGATCCTGAGTGTGCTGGCCATGAGACCTTTATAAGCGTTAACTGTATCTCTCTTGTAATTATAGTTAGTCATAGTTATAGTTGGTTGTTTCAGTTGTCAGTTTGAAGGTATTAGTACTTGAAGAACAAGTCACTGTAAGAATCAAATATCTTTGGAAATGAAAACTTTTAACCCCTTCAAATTTTGCATGTAGTTAGGCGCTCAGGGGGGATACACAAGAATGCCCTTTTTCAAGGTTGCAACACTCTTTTTGCCATGGTAACAACGGCTGCTTGTTCGAGGCCTGGGGCCTCATTCTCAGACAAAAACATTTAAAAAAAGTGTAAAATGTTTATTTCTCTATCTCAAGCTAAATACAACATTACAAATTGGTACTTCTACTATACATAGTGACATCATTCGTCTTCACTTTGATGCATTCAGTTTTCCCTGAGAGTGAATGTGAACACACCAATAGATTATTTATCTCGGTACAGTTTCGGTTATTTTTGTTGTATAGTAATACAGGGAAAACGTTTATCTGAATTTCTCCAAAAGCCGGCCTGTAGTTTCCATAGGAGCAATTTGCGAACGAAGCTAAAAAATCAGATATTGCATAATTTGGCGATGTTTACATTCTAAATCTAAATAAGCGCATTCTTAGGTTTATACTACAGGACTACAGCTCTCCATATGACATATTACTGAACAAAGTTAATTTGAAATCTCTATTCATTAGACGCCTCCAGAACTTCATGATCATGTTATATAAGAGTCTGTTCTTTTACGAATTATCCAGGTTATTTAAAAGATATGTTCACCGTACGGCCCTCGTCCTACAATTTGCGCAGAAATCATATCCTGGCCCTTCCCAATCCAAAAACAACGACTTACGGTCTGCACTCTTTTTCATACTTAGCCAGCAAAATATGGAACTCTCTCCCACACTTGCAAAACATTGAATTTTCTAAAACTCAAGCAGGAGATCTTCAGATATGAAACTTTTCCACAGTAGATCTACAAATTATATTTCCCTCTGCATGCATAATGTTGTATATAGTTTATAAATAACATTGGAATTGTAAGGTAGCACATTTTATTTATTTTAGCTTATTTTCTCGAAGATATCAGCTCTACAACTACTCTGTCAATTTCGAGCATAAATGAAGTATAAGTCTGTATGTATGTATGTATGTATTTAGTGTTCTCAACAACAAACGTTTCTGACAAATGAAACGTGCGAGGCTTTGAAAGAATGTTATCTGTTATATTTTAAAAAAAATTATCAGCCTTCATGGAGGACCACTCGACGTAACTACAAACATATACCTCAAATCGTGGGTGTATCATCCAGCTTCCGAGTGCTACACCTTCTTTCACGGGAATTCGAGCAATCCGAAAACCTCTGAAGATACACTGTTATACTTGTATGTCTTTGGAAACATGTTAAAGTCGGCTGATCTACACGAAGCTATCCTATCCCTGGTCATTTGTCATAGACGTGTACGTTATCACGGTGGCGTGACGCTATATTTTTCCATGAAGTTTTCATCGGTCGCTCCAAAGAAGACAAGAAATGGATTTTTTTCGATATTTCAGCAGATTTCCGTGCATTCTGAAGTAAACACAAGCAAAAAAAGGAGGAAATCCTTGATTGAACGCTCGTCAACACTGCGAGTCTGAGGGTATAAATAGTAAATAAAGGCTGAGGGTATAAATAGTAAATAAAGCCTTTCACTTGGTATAAATAGTAACTTGTCAGCGGTAGTAACCATTTAAAACCTAGTTCCAACAATAGTAATCCACACGACTCGCGCGAAAACCATCACAAAGTGAAGATTTTGAACAACTCAGTATCCCTGCAGTACAGCAAATGGAACAGAGATTTCATCACAATCAATTTCCAAAAACTAAGCCTTTTTCAGAGAGTCTTTTACATGCTCGAACATTATATTAGCATTAAGCCTTGAGATTTATTTCCCATGATAATAGAATGCTATAGTGAGTGCCTGCAAAATTACAAAGGTTCTCCTTTTGGCGTCGCTTGGACCGAGAAGTACAGATTTGAAATAATTAGTGCTTTCACTGATGAACCAACGGGTAAAATCTTCTCAGTTATTAGCTTGATAATCTCCACAGACTAACGTTATTGGACCTAACGATCTCGTTTTTCTTACTGGTGAGCCGGCCACATCAGGGGTAAAGAGACCTTTCACTTCCTCCCGTGTAAATCACCGGGAGATCGCATTATATTATCTTTCTTTAAGCTTGTAAAAGATATCCGGGAGAAAATTATGGAAAATAATCGTGATGAAATCGCTGTTCTTTTTCCTAAAGGGCCTGAAGCGATCCAGTTTAAACCGTTAAATCTTTTATTTCGAACTTTGTTATGATGTTTTCTTTATCAGGACATGGAAGGAAACATTGATAAACTTGATTGCACTGCGGCGGTGATAAGTCTCTCCTCGTCATATCTTATGCAAATTTTCTAACAGTTTTCAAACAGATGAGATACAATGAAATATATGAAGTTCATATATTTGAACTGCGGATCGTGCATCATATGTATCTAATACTGCAGTACAAAATATATGAACTTCATATATCTTATTGTATCTCATTTATCACTTTCACGGGTTTATTACGAATCAACTTAACGGCCTGCTCCCAGTTGGCTTGTTAGCTCAATTGGTAGAGCGCTGCACTAGTATCGCAGAGGTCATTGGTTCGAATCCCGTACAGGCCTGATTTTTTTCAGGTCTGATTTTCGCTATTGCTTAAATAGCGCTATCTACTGCGAGGATCGTGCATCATAAGTAGTTTTCAGATGATTCGAAATATCTCAGTTCCTTTCACTTGGAAATGACAACTGCCCGAATCTGCTCTTTGTAAGGAGATGCATATGTCGGAAGACCAGATCATCTTCCCAGCTTAATATACCGCTTTTTAAAACCAAGTAGGGACAGACGTCTCTTTATCACATTGTAGAATGCCGTAAAAACCCCATTTTAAATTAAGTGAATCTCTTATCATTTTCAAACGTAAAATGAAAGCCTTCTTTTTAAATCAATTTTTAATGTCATTTTTTTATATGCAAATAGTTTCTTTGGGTTAGATATTCTAGTCATCTTGTTGGATAGGACGAATAAATGGAGGTCCCGTCTCCTGCAGGGTAGGGTAGGAGACGTTAATTTTCCATGCACGAGATTACTGTGTGATGGATGTCCTCCCCTGGGGTGGGATGGGTGGATTTACTGGGCCCGCAGTAATTGGCGCAAGCTGTTGCGGTGTCCCTGCCTGTCGGCGAATCTAATAAACTAAACTAAAAGTAATAATTGGCTAATAATTTTTGAGTATTTTTTTAAGTATCTTAAATCAATTTTTAATGCAATAAATTTTATATCCAAATAGTTTCTTAATAATTAATTATTGACAATTTTTTAGTATTTTTTGATTATCTGTATCATTAATATTTGTCTCTGAAAAGCCCTCATGGGGAATTGACAATAAAATTTGTATTGTATTGTATTGTATTGTATTGTATTATCGCAACTGGGTTTTGCATGGATTACTACCGCTGACAAGTTACAATAGCGTTCAATCAAGGATTTCCTCCGTTTTTTTTTGGTTGTTTTTACTTCAGAATGCGCGGAAATCTGCTGAAATATCGAAAAACGTACATATCTCGTCTTCTTTGGAGTGACCGATGGAAACTTCATGGAGAAATACAGCGTCACGCCATCGTGATAACGTAGACGTTTATGACAAATGACCGGTGATAGGATGGTTTCGTGTAGATCAGCTAACTTTAACATGTTTCCAATGAGATACAAGTATAATAGTGTATCTTCAGAGGATTTCAGATTGCTCGAATTCCCCTGAAAGAAGGTGTTGCACTCGGAATCTGGATGATATGCACACGATTTGAGGTATATGTTTGTAGTTATGTCGAGTGGTCCTTCATGAAGGCTGATAAATATTTTTAAAAGATAACAGCCAGAGGCGAGATTTCTCTTCGGGATATTGCTCAAAAGATAACATTCTTTCAAAGCCTCGCACGTTTCATTTGTCAGAAACGTTTGTTGATGAGAACATTAACTGTAAACATCGCCAAATTATGCAATATCTGATTTTTAAACTTCATTCGCGAATTGCCCTTATTGAAAGTAGAGGCCGGCCCGCAGAGGTTTTTACATGTTCGAAAACTAGAATATTGTAACCAACTAGGCGGGTAGTTTCAGTTCCAGAATCGGTGTACTTTTGGAGAAATTCAGATAAACGTTTTCCTTTTTTTACCCTACAACATAAATGACCGAAACTGTACCGAGATAAATAGTCTATTGGTGTGTTCACATTCACTCCCAAGGGAAAACTGAATACATCAAAGTGAGGACGAATGATGTCACTATGTATGGTAGAAGTACCAATTTGTGATGTTGTATTTAGCTTGAGATAGAGAAATAAACATTTTACACTTTTTTTTAATGTTTTTGTAGAAAATGAGGCCCCAGGCCGCGAACAAGCAGCCGTTGTTACCATGGCAACAAGAGTGCTGCAACTTTGAAAAAGGGCATTTTTGTGTATCCCCCCTGAGTGCCTAACTGCATGCAAAATTTGAAGGGAGGTTAAAAATTTTCATTTCCCAAGATATTTGATTCTTACATACTTGTTCTTCAAGTCTGAAATGAACCTAATGCATTTGTATATGTTTTCTATATCTTGTAAAATTATTCTCGACCAACTTTTTATTACCAATAGCAAGTAATTTCACTACCTCCTCAGTCCTTCAAGCCTTAAAGGAAAGAGGCATTCAGCTTTGATTTAATAGCCTATAAGGGCTTCTCCAGCTTTGCAGCGGCACAGAATTCTTAAACTTGCTGATAATGTTAGTTATTAAGTTCTAATTGACTTCATTAATGATTAAAAAATACTCTAGTTTAACGAATTGTTTGGAACACTTACAGTTCTCAGCAAAACGTCCACTACCTCTGTGCTGGTTACTGTCACAAAAGCATATGTCTGGGAGAAGAACATAATTTATTTTCTTTTAATCAAACTAAGCTATTTGACAAAACATACTAAACCAGGTGGGCGATTCGCCAGGTTACCAAACCTATAATTCATTATGTAACGAAGATTTTAAAAATGTGCAAAACCACTAGTTCATTTCACGCAGTTGAAGATAAGACACAAAAACGATGGGAAACAGGTTTTGGAATTTAAAACATAAACACAAAAAGCGAGAAGTACATGAAAAAAATCAGTCTCCTTTATCACAGCTGCTACAGTGGCCATCCATGAAAATACCTAAAAGTTGTTTACCTGACGTTAACTAAAGTTGGTTGATCACCCATTGCTTCGCATTGATTAAATTCTTTATCAATTGAGAGAGATTATATATAGCTTAAGTTATGGTCAGAATAGTAAAATGCTGCTTGCAAAATGATTTTAAAATTCCATTAAGGCCCAAAGAGCAAAGCGCGGCAGAACCTTTTGATATAAATTTTGAAAAAGGTTCATCACTACGGTGGCCCACAACTGTCACGGCAAAACAAAAAGTCACGGCACTACAAACTTTACTCACGGCAAAACTAAATTAACTCACGGCAAAACAAAATTAACTCACGGCAAAACAAAATTAACTCACGGCAAAACAAAATTAACTCACGGCAAAACAAAATTAACTCACGGCAAAACAAAATTAACTCACGGCAAAACAAAATTAACTCACGGCAAAACAAAATTAACTCACGGCAAAACAAAATTAACTCACGGCAAAACAAAATTAACTCACGGCAAAACAAAATTAACTCACGGCAAAACAAAATTAACTCACGGCAAAACAAAATTAACTCACGGCAAAACAAAATTAACTCACGGCAAAACAAAATTAACTA